TTCGCTCGCTTTCGTTCTGGAAATTTCGATGTGAAAGATACGAAAAGACTTTTTCGACTACCCTATATAACACCAGTGATATGGCGCTTTGGCAAATCAAATCAGATCAAGTCCAGAAGGATAAATGACTTTGGTATCTGTTGTTTGTAAAAGTTGAGTCGGTAGAAAAAGCATACCTTTAGACAGCATCACTGCGAAATCGCAGTCCACTGAGTTCTGATCAGCTCACTCCATAAATGGAAATTTGACAGAAAACCATTATCTGAGTGAATTCTTCCGCTCCAGAAAACGAGTTTGGTCGATACAGCCATTTTTTTCTGATTTGTAGCGACTGGCCGCATAGCGGTTTGCTGCGAGCAAAGGATTCTCCTCCACTGCTCACAGCTCCAATCGCATTATAGACTCTTATAGCAGTGGTTTGCGATGATGCAGTATCTGCGATCAATGGCAAATCTCTCCGTTTGTTTCCACAAAGTAATTAAGATGAAATATTTTAGGGATCTCCTCTCAATACTTGAAGGGAAACAGACTGGCATGGCGCTAAATGAGGCTCTGAGTGAAGCTCGAGTCACCCAACGTCGTGGAGTGGTTTCTGCTGCCGCTGAACTCTGGCCTACGGGGTTTATTCGCATCTTTTCACCTGAGGTAGGTGAAAGGAAGAGCTGGGGTACTTGAGAAACCCTCGCGATATCGGTTTATGTAGATAAAAGCAATCGGACGTTGTGTTTGTTTGGCAGGCCATGAAGATATGGCAGCATTGGTGAGAAGAGCTGCACAAGAGGTGACGTTCACTACGATTTTAGTGCAACTGATGAATAACCCATTAAATACTTCAGGGTACGCCACGCCTGATGACAGATACATGGGAACCAATACCACCGTGTGAAATCCGTACCGAACAGCACATGCTTACATATTTAGCAGCATTTTTGGGACATTTTGGGCCACAACATACAATTATCGATATCCCTCTAAGACTACTGTTAAAGTCACTGTCTGGAAATTGGCCTACAACTGGACCTGCATTAGCTGAATGGGCAACAAAGTAGGTTTTCTAGAGAAAATTAGCAAGCATACTTTCAAGTAGCACGCTCAAGATATTTTTATAAGATACTAATAACCTCCACAGAACTTTTAAAGAAAAGACTGTGATGCTAGAATAAGTAGAATTTTGAAAAATGGCTGAAATCGATAATTAGTCAAAGCGCCAAATATCCACAATCTAGCCAATCAGAGAAAAACTGAAGAAAACGAAAAAAAAAAGTTGTTTTCAATTTTCAGAAGATCCTATCAGTTCATAGTTATGTTTGAAGTACTCTACCTAGCATCTAGTATACGACACCGCCGTATCTTAGTAGAAGCTGTACAGGTGAACACTTTGGTGAGGTGTCTTTACTGCTGAACCTAAAACTGTTTTTAGCCTCTCTCATCGCTGAAGTTCAAGTTTATAAATCCAGCCAATCGATGCTAGCTGTGATCACATGCTTCTGTATCGCAATTTATGACTTTTGATATTAAGACAGAGATTTCACATAATTTTCAATCATTCCTTCAGTGTAGGGAACTACGATAAAGATGTTTTTTAAGTCCCTCTTGTATCTAGTTGTTTTCTTTTCATCTTTCAAAATCAGAGGTAAAGCAAAAA